CAACCAAATCTGGGATATAGCAAAAGCAGTGCTTAGAAGGGCATTTATAGCACTGAATGCATATGCCAGAAAAGAAGAAAGGCCCAAAGTCAGTCATCTAAGTTACTGCCTTAGGAAACTAGAAGAAAGGTAGATCAAACTCAGAGTAAGCAGAAGAAAATAAATTAGCAAAAATTAGAGCAGAAGTCCATGAAATTGGAAATGGGAAATCAACTGAGAAAAATCAACGAAACAAAGCTTGACAAGATGGACAAAGCTGGTAAACCTCTATCCAGGCTAAGGAAAAAAGAAGACACAAACTACTAATATCAGACCCACAAGAGAGGACATCATTACAGATACCCGGATGTTAAAAGGATAACATAGGGACATTATGAACAATTCTGTGCCTGCAAATTTGATAACCTGGATAGCCCAGTTCCTTGGGAGAAACCATCTGTCAAAGCCCACATAAGAAGAAATTGACACTCTAAATAGGCTTATATTTATTAAAGAAATCAAGTAAATAATAGTGTTACAGTCCTGGGTGAGATCACATGTGTATTCTACCAAATATTTAAGGAAGAAATCATACCGATTCTTTATAATCCCTTTCAGAAGGTAGAATTAGAAGGCGTTTTCTAACTCATTCTATGAGGCCAGCATCACCCTGATATCAAAGTCAGACAAATAAATCATAAGAAAACTATGGGACCAATATCTTTTATGAATATAGATGCAAAAATCCTAAACAACATATTAGTAAGTGAAGTCCAACAATGTATAAAAAGAATAATGCACCAAGACCAGCTTGGATTTATCTCAGTTAAATGCAAGACTGGTTCAACATTCAAAAATTAATCTACGGCCTCAACAGCTAAAGAAGAAAAGTAACAGATTACGTCAATAGATGCAGAAAAAGCATTTGACAAAACCCAACATCCACTCATGATCAAAATTCTCAGTAAAATAGGAATAGAGGGGAACTTCTGCAACTTAATAAAGAATACTTACCAAAAAACCTACAGTTATCATCATACTTAACAGTTAGAAACTTTCCCACTAAGGTCAAGGACAAGGCAAGATATTGCTCTCCAACCACTCTTAGTCCTTGTTAATGCAGCAAGAAAAGAAAAGGAAAAGACCAATTGGGAAAGAAGAAATAAAATTGTCCTTATTCACAGATGATGAGATTGTCCATGTAAATAATTCAAAAGAACAAAAGCAGTTCTTGGAACTAGTAGTATTTGTAGTAATGTTGTAGGATAAAGGCTGATATACAAAAGTCAGGTGCTTTCCTATAAAACAGCAATGAATAAATAGAATTTGATATTAAAAGCACAGTACTGAGGTGTTTGGCGTAGCAGTTAAGATGCCCATGTCCCACATAGAAATCCCTGGATTTTTCCTGGCCTCAGCTCCCAACTCCAGCTTCCTGCCAGAGCAGCTCTGGGAGGCAGCAAATGATGGCTCAAGTAACAAGGCCATAGCCTAACCCACTGCCCAGCCCCCAAGACATATCTGATACAGGACTATGATCCAAAAATAAGGAAAAGCACCTGGCTCCTGGCTCTTGCCATCGGATCAGCGCGGTGCGCCAGCCGCAGCGCGCCGGCCGCGGTGGCCATTGGAGGGTGAACCAACGGCAAAAGGAAGACCTTTCTCTCTGTCTCTCTCTCTCACTGTCCACTCTGCCTGTCAAAAATAAATAAATAAATAAATAAATAAATAAATAAATAAATAAGGAACTCTTACAATTCAACATGAATACAAACGTGCACCAAACACCTTAGCAGACACCTCACCAAAGAAGCTATATAGGTGGCAAACAAGCACATGGAAAGATACCCCACATCATTTGTCACCAGGGAAATCCAAGAAAAAAACCACCACGGGCTAGCACTACACAACTATTAGAATGGCTGAGATCCAGAACGTTGGAAACTGAAGCTGGCGAGGATGTGGGCTGAGAGGCGCCCTCCCTCACCGCCGCTGGGTGTACACAGTGATACAGCCACCTTGGAAGATAGTTTGGAAGAATTATTTTTAAAATAAAACTAAATATATTTTTTACTGTAATATCCAGCAGTCCACTCCTTAGTATTTATCTAAAGGAGCTGAAAGCTATGTCCACACGAAAGACTGCCCGTGGGTGTTTATAGCTAACTACAAAAATTGGGGAGCAACCAAGATGTTCTTTAGTAGATGGATGGCTAAATAAACTGTGGTGCAGTCAGACGATGCAATATTTTTCACTGCTGAAAAAAGAGATATCAAGCCATTAAAAGGCATGGAACTTAAATGCATATTGCTAAGTGCAAGAAGCCCATCGAAAAGGTAGCAAACTCTACGATTCCAACTAGATGACATTCTGAAAAAGATGAAACTATGGAAACAGTAAAAAGGACAGTGGCTGCCAAGGGTTGGGGCGGGGTGTGTGTGTGTGTGTGTGTGTTGGTGAACAGACAGCACAGAGCATCCCCAGGGCAGTGAGAATGCCCTTTGTGGTCTTCTATTAGGGGTGCAGGTCACTGTGCCTTCGTCCAGGTCATGGGATGCACAACACCGAGAGTGAGCCCTGATGCAACGTGGACTCCGGGGCCCAGTAAGCTCATCCGTTGTCTGACACACCCATTGCTCTGGAGGACCATGGAGGTCAGGCATATGTGGGAGCCAGGGGCATAAGAGACATCTCCGGCCCTTTCTCTAAATTTTTCTAGGAGCCTAAAACTGCTCTAAACATAAATCTTCACAATTATATTGTTGTCACATTAATCAGTCTAGTAAGTTAGGTTTTCTCCCATTGTTCATAATACCCTGATGGTATTAAGGCAACATAACTGAGTTACATAGCCATGTGGGTATCATCCTGCCATATTTTATAACTTCAAACTGGGTGTCTAATCAGCATAGTTTGAAAGATTAGCTAGAATCTGTTTTTTGTTTTTTCTTTTAGCTAGGCATATTGTGTATTCTCTGAGCCTTACATTATACATAGCAAATGAAGAACTGAGAAGCCTATGTGGGAATGACAGAGTAGTGTGTGTGTGTGTGTGTGTGTGTGTGAGACTCAAGGACCCAAGGAGCACGGAACCACCCAGAGAGTCTGCAGCCCGTTTAGCCGTGTACAGAAGGCAGTTCCTGACATCAGGCCGACTCCTCGAGGCTTTCTGGAAAAAGCGCTCTTGCAGCTACGTTAAACAGCAAAAACTGAGTGATGCCAAGCAGAGCAGGTTAAGTACACAAGATGATATTGTGGGTAACCAATCTTCTCTTCCAGACTAATGCTGCTCATTACAGAACTCTCAGGTAGACTGCTGAGTTTGGATGAACAAGTATCTGTTTTAAGGGATCTTTTCCCTCCTCCTCTTTCTCTTTCTTGTGTGTGTGTATATGCAGAGAGAGAGACAGAGACAGAATAAAGCGTGTATGCATGTTTAAATTCATGTAACCATCATCAGAATTTAAAAAGTATATGTTGCTGGCTGGCGCCGTGGCTCACTAGGCTAATCCTCTGCCTTGCGGCGCCGGCACACCGGGTTCTAGTCCCGGTCGGGGCGCCGGATTCTGTCCCGGTTGCCCCTCTTCCAGGCCAGCTCTCTGCTGTGGCCAGGGAGTGCAGTGGAGGATGGCCCAAGTGCTTGGGCCCTGCATCCCATGGGAGACCAGAATAAGTACCTGGCTCCTGGCTTCAGATCAGCGCAGTGCGCTGGCCACAGCGGCTATTGGAGGGTGAACCAATGGCAAAAGGAAGACTTTTCTCTCTGTCTCTCTCTCTCTCTCTCACTGTCCACTCTGCCTGTCCAAAAAAAAAAAAAAAAAAAAAAAAAAATATATATATATATATATATATATATATATATATATATATATATATATGTTGCTGGCCCCCAGGAAAGACCTCTGTCTAAACCAGGTTTTGTGCTTCTGTGACACTAGACCACTCTGGTCTCCTTGGTGTTTATTATGTCGAGCAGTTAACAAGGCACAGGTGCATCAGGACCATGTGTGTCCTTCACCATCAAGCTTGTATTTACTGTCAGCATCACCGCACCCTCGAGAAAAGCTTTCTCTGTGGTCGAAACGGTGTATTAATCTGGGAAAGACAGTCGCAGGGCGAACTGCGATAGAGGAACGTCCACGTGGCTGGGAACTCCAGGCTAGGGGTGCCTCGATCTCAACAAAGATGGTATTGTTTCCTAACATGGGATATAAAAATACCAGGAGGTGAAAGGAGACTGCTGGCTTTGGGAAGTCTTCTTCCTAGGCCTTTGTCATCTCACGCCCGCCTGCCCGCCCACCGGCCCCTTCAACACAGACCGCTGGGGAGGCCCGGGCATCCTCCTCCCTTCTCTCCTCCCCCCGCTCCCCTCACAGATCCCACTCTGCCCCCTCACCGATGCCTAACACCCCCTCGTTTCTCGTGCCTGTGGGCTAACGTCCACAGACCCGGGACAGGAGCCCCGGATGGTGTGTAACAGATTTGGCAGTGGGCAGAGGCGGGCTCACAGGTAAGTCTTCCTTCTTGGCACACCCTCCCTGGATCTCCCCCAGCAAGTCCTGCCTGCCTCCAAAGACTTCCTCCACGTACCCCAGTGGGTTTGGTCCCTCCCTGCCCCTTGCCTTTCCCCGTCTGTAGCGCCGGCTGCTGTGTTCTGTGTTAGGATGGTTTCCGTGAGCCCTTCTCACTCCTGCTGGTCAGGGACCAGGTGGCCCTTCCACCGTGCTCCCCAGCACCGGCTCTGGGCTCACTGGACGGTCGGCTTGATCTGTGGAATCTGGGACATTTAAAATGGGGTCCACTGGACGGCATTTTCCTAGGCAGTGTCTCGGGCATGCTGTCTGTAAAACTCACCATGAAAAGTTAATGTACATTGGAGTTTTGAAGCGCCACCTTTGAAAATGTAGAGCTAACTCATAGTGTTATTTGATCATGAAACAAAGGATCATGACTGACAGATAATAAGTGAGTTTCCGACCTGTGTTAACCTATTATTGCCATTCTTGTTCAATCTGTGTAGTCTCTTCGGCTTTGCCCGGGGCAGTACGAGGTGCTTCCCGCCCCAGTTCCCAAGTTCCCTTCCAGGTAATTATGCACTTATTTTCCTCATTTCACTCCTGCCTTCCTTCTGACATCTGCACATCTTCATACTCACGGCTTTAAACCTCACGGATGTACCTCATATTCAGACTAGTATTTGAAAATATTTAATGAGAGACAGGGAATGAGTCAACAAAGATCTTTTTTACAAAAAGGGAAGATGTAGAAAATCACATCTTTGATTTGTTTTCTTTTTTAAATACAGGAGCTTCGTGTTTCGTTCTGCAGTTCAAAGATTCCCAACTGGCTGCTTCATACCTGTGAGTATGACGCAGTTAACTCGTGACAAATTTGGTGTTTAAAACACGCAATGGCTCCTTTTGATATAGCAACATTTTCCTCATCATAGTGGATAAACTGTGAATGATTAATGCAATGAAGACATACTAGGGATTTCAATGTCAGTAACCCAACTGTGGCAAGTTATATACGAAAACGGCTCTTTTTATGAGTTAAAGAGACTTAATGTACAACCTGGTGACTAGAGTTAATAATATACTGTATCCTCAAAAATTGCTGAGAGTAGACTTGAAGTATCCTCACCACAAAAAATTTATGTTAGGTAATACATATGTGAATTGGTTTGATTTAACCATTCCACAGTATATATATGATACATACAACTTCTACTTGTAGATTAAAAATTAATTTTTACCCAGGTTTGATCACTACACATTGTGAACATGTATCACATCATCATACTGTAACCTATAAATATGTGCAAATATCACACAATGATAAAAAGAATTGCAATAAAAAGTTATTTAAAAAATTATTCCTAGTGTAATATCACTGTCTGGTTATCAGGCTGAAAAAACTATCAGAATGCTTTCTTAAAGTATTTTTATTGGGGCTGGCACTATGGCATAGCAGGTAAAGCTGCCATCTGCAGTGCCAGCATCCCATATGGACGCTGGTTCGAGTCCTGGCTGCTCCACTTTTGATCCAGCTCTCTGCTGTGGCCTAGGAAAGCAGTAGAAGATGACCCAGGTGCTTGGGCCCCCGCACCCACATGGGAGACCTGGAAGAAGCCCCTGGCTCCTGACTTCGGATCAGCTCAGCTCTGGCCATTACGGCCATCTGGGGAATGAACCGGTGAATGGAAGACCTCTCTCTCTCTCTCTCTCTCTCTGCCTCTGCATCTCTGCAACTCTGCCTTTCAAATAAATAAATCTTTAAAAATATTTTTATTCTTGGGGCTGGTGCCATGTTGTATTGGATAAAGCAGTGGAAGATGGCCCAAGTGCTTGGGCCCCTGCACCCACGTGCCTGGCTTTGGATTGGCCCAGCTGTGGCCATTGTAGCCATTTGGGGAGTAAACCAGCTTTCTTTCTGTCTCTGCCTCTCTCTCTCTAACTCTGCCTTTCAAATAAATAAAAACATCTTAAAAAATAAAATATTTTTATTCTCAGCAAAGTAATACGTGCCTATGGCTAAATGACCTTTGATGTTAAAAATCATAACAAAAGGCAGGTTTCTGCTCTGTCCCTCCCCTTTCCAATTCCTTGTGATGGTTTCCTTGAACTTTCTTAGCTATTATAGGACTATTCCTTTGTTCTTTTTCATTTTAGGCATTATCTTTTTTTTTTTATTAAGATTTATTTATTTATTTGAAAGGCAGAGTTACAATGAGAGAGAGAGGTCTTCCATCTGCTGGTACACTTTCCAGATGGCCACAACAGTCTGAGCTGAGCTGATCCGAAGCCAGGAGCCAGGAGCTTCTTCCAGGTCTCCCATGTGGGTGCAGGGGCCCAAGGACTTGGGCCATCCTCCACTGCTCTCCCAGGCCACAGCAGAGAGCTGGATCGAAAGTGGAGCAGCCGGGACTTGAACTGGCGCCCATATGGGATGCTGGTGCTGCAGGTGGTGGCTTTACCCACTACGCCACAGCACCAGCCCCAGCATTAGCTCTTATGTTCTCTGTATGGAATATGAACCTTTAGCTCTGAAATCCCTGTCCCCCATATAAACCTTTCCATAGCCCCAATAATCACATCATAATTTTCCTTCTATCATTGTATAGTGTTTGCTGCATTTTAACTTTGTTCATTGCCAAGGTACATAATATATTACTATTAAATTTCTTGAACTTTTTATTTTCCTGGAGTTAGTAACTGATTTGCTTTTGGCTTGCTTAGTTTTTTTTTTTTTTTTTTTAATGATACCAACTTCCCAAGAGAACTAACTGCAAATTCTTCTCAGTAATGGACAAATGCATCAGAAAATTCATGAGTTGCTTTTATTGTTTTCTCCTTTTGAGCTAAACCTTGTGGAACATTCCATCACCCTCCTCCAATCAAAGCTGGATGCTTGCTAGGCTTTCTACATAGTGGCTGTTGATCAGTTTCAGAAACTGAAAAAGTAAAAGAACTTTATTTTGGGACTTGGGAGTTGCAATTTGAGAGACAGATTCAGACAACTCTGAATGAGTGTTCCCAAGGAAACAGGGCAAGTGGGAGCTGACGCAGGCAAATTCAGAGCAGGAAAAGTTCCTTTGTCGGGGACTTCTTTTGAGTTTCGAGAAAGAACAGAGGCCACGTCACAGGGGCCGTGTGGATGGTTAAAGGGAAGAACAGGATGCATATATGATGTAAAAGTATTCATAACCAAGCATCCAGTAAACTTTTTGGACATGCATCTGGAGACCCTGGGCACACTGTAATTATGCAATCATTCTCGGTGCTGCCAAAGGTAATTGAAAGTCCACCTTCAAGCGATTGGCTCGAGAAGTGCGTAAGTCCAATTCTGCTAATGGCCTCCCAGCTCCGTGTAGAAAGGCTTTCTCAATGCTGCTTTCATTGCGATTTTTCCCATTTATTTTCGCCTGGTCCTGGGACATTGCTTCAGCATCGTCTCGGAGATCTGGCATAGCCCGCCATGCTGACAGATGCACCGGCCAGTGATTTCTCTCCCGTCCAACTTGCTGGGTGGGGGGTCCTTCTTTGCTACTGTTTCCAAGGGGGTGAGGTAAGAGGGGGGCCCTCATCAGGGATGTGGACACGAGTCTGGAGGGATCCACCGTGCAGCAGGTGCCAGAGGCAAGCAGGTGCTCGCATCCCGTGGCCAGCAGGAGAGACGTGAGGGCGAGCGACATGTGGCAGACACAGCCCCGCGCAGACCCTTGCACACGGCAGGAGCTCAGTGCATGGCAGCTGCTGCTGTTGTCTGTGTTCTAAGATTTCCATCAGAAGCTCAGAGAATAAAGGCCAGCTTGGTCAGGGAGGAGCTGCAGGAGAGCAGCTCTGTATTCCTTTAGGTCTTAAATATCGCCATTTTTTTTTTAAAGATTTATTTGTAAGGCAGAGAGAGAGAGAGAGAGATCTTCCATGCCCTGGTTCACTCCCCAAATGGCTGCAACAACCAGGGCTGGGCCTGGCTGAAGCCAGGAGCCAGGGGCCAGGAGCTTCTTCCGAGTCACCCACGTGGGTGCGGGGGCCCAAGCACTTGGGCCAAACTCCACTGCTTTCCCGGGTGCATTAAAAAGGAGCTAGATTGGAAGCAGAACAGATGGACCTGAACCGGCACCCATTTGGCACGCCAGCGTAGCAGGCAGCGGCTTTTCCTGCTATGCCACAGCGCCAGCCCCTCAAAGACGGCCTCTCAGTGACGTCTTTCACAGCACCTGCTCAAATTTCCAGCCCCCCTTCCTTTGGCTCCACATTTCATTTTTACCTATCCTGTTTCTATCCAACTCTACCACTAGAACAGATGCTTCCTGAAGCAGGAATTTTTTTTTTTTAATTTTATTTATTTATTTGAGAGGTAGAGTTAGAGAGAGAGGGAGAGACACAGAGAAGAGGTCTTCTATCCACTGGTTCACTCACCAAATGGCTGCAACATCCGCAGCTGGGCTGATCCCAAGCCAGGAGCCAGGAGCTTCTTCCGGGTCTCCCACGCTGGTGCAGGGGCCCAAGCACTTGAGCCATCTTCCACTGCTTTCCCAGGCCATAGCAGAGAGCAGGATCGGAAGAGGAGCAGCTGGGACTAGAACTGGTGCCCATATGGATGCTGGCACCACAGGCAGAAGCTTAGCCCACTACGCCACAGTGCCAGCCCTGAAGCAGGGATTTTTGTATGTTTTACTCTTGCATATCCAGCACCTAGAAAAGTGGATGGCATATGGCATTTGTTGAATTAATGGATAAAAGCATTAGCGCTATTAAGTAGATCATTGCATTAACAAAAATGAAGAGTATCTCCAGTTTCTTTCATTTCTATAATGTGAAAATGCTTTTCTCCTTCCAAATGTTTCCACATGTTTCCATATGAGTTATGATAAAAATGAGCTCTGTTAGATAAGTAGCTAAATCAGTAAGGTGTCATAAAATAAAGACATAAGCAATCTGAAAGAATGAGAAAATACGAAGTAGCCTCAGGGTGGTTTGAAGGACTATAGTCATTGGTAATTATGATTGGGACATACAGCAGACATCTGACAGAGAAGCTGAGCTATCTCACAGAACTCAGGAACAGAGCCTGGAATGGATAGGGGTCTCACGTCCAACAAAGACAATGTGGCAAGTCAGAGAGAGGCAAGGATGCCTTGCGCTGGATAACTGGGGCAGCAGTGGCGCAGGACAGCGGACTGATCGTTTGTGCCCGTGTCCCTTCGCTCTCACGGAAGGGCCTCACTCCTCACAGCTGTGCTCCCTGGTGTCACCTCATCCATGCTGTTTTGCAAATAAAAGTCATTAACTGAGTGAGAACATCTTGTCCTGAAAAATAAATAAATAAAAAGGATACGTTGGTGGAAAATGTTCCAAGGCGGGGAACCAGCCCGGGGCCGTGAATCATGTGTGTCCTGAGCACGCATTCCCAGAGCTGACTACGGGTTTGCTTTAGGTCCACAGACTTACAAACCGCACAGAGCAGACTCTTTGGATCCCAGCAGTGGGAGGGGGCAGTGAGCAGCGTGATCTGACTTGGGCAACGTGGCCTCCAGCCTTCCTGCAGTGAATGCATTACCTGGGCCATTAAATGTGCCGCGGATGGCATTTTTCATTTGGTTGATTGTACCAAGCGGTTGAATTGCTCTGGAAATTAACACCGTGTAGAGTAGGCATGAGCTTTATAAACCAGTCACTCGATTAGGGTCAACTCTGGTAACTACCTTGGCTGCCATTCATTAGGTCAGCATTGCAGTGTTCTCGGGCGCCAGGCACAGTGCCCTGTTCATCTTGTCTCATTCTCTCACCTCGGTGAGGTCCTGTTTCCTCGCCACCTCTGGCTGATAGGTCAGGAAGTAGAAATTAGTTGTCTG